CAACTCAGTGCATTTAGGCATGTAGACATGGTCAAGACAATCTCCTGCAGTTCAAACCGAGCATCAGTATGGGGAAGAAAGGTGATTTGAGTGACTTTGAAAGTGGCATGACTGTTGGTGCCAGAAGGGCTGGTCTGAGTATTTCAGAAACTGCTGATCTACTGGGATTTTCACGCACAACCATCTCTAGGGTTTACAGAGAATGGTCCGAAAAAGAAAAAACATCCAGTGAGCGACAGTTCTGTGGGCAGAAATGCCTTGTTGATGCCAGAGGTCAGAGGAGAATGGCCAGACTGGTTTGAGCTGATAGAAGGGCAACAGTGACTCAAATAACCACCCGTTACAACCAAGGTGGGCAGAAGAGCATCTCTGAACGCACAGTACGTCGAACTTTGAGGCAGATGGGCTACAGCAGCAGAAGACCACACCGGGTGCCACTCCTTTCAGCTAAGAACAGGAAACTGAGGCTACAATTTGCACAAGCTCATTGAAATTGGACAATAGAAGTTTGGAAAAACGTTGCCTGGTCTGATGAGTCTCGATTTCTGCTGCGACATTCGGATGGTAGGGTCAGAATTTGGCGTCTACAACATGAAAGCATGGATCCATCCTGCCTTGTATCAACGGTTCAGGCTGGTGGTGGTGGTGTCATTGTGTGGGGAATATTTTCTTGGCACTCTTTGGGCCCATTGGAACCAATTGAGCATCGTTGCAACGCCACAGCCTACCTGAGTATTGTTGCTGACCATGTCCATCCCTTTATGACCACAATGTACCCAACTTCTGATGGCTACTTTCAGCAGGATAATGCGCCATGTCATAAAGCTGGAATCATCTCAGACTGGTTTCTTGAACATGACAATGAGTTCACTGTACTCAAATGGCCTCCACAGTCACCAGATCTCAATCCAATAGAGCATCTTTGGGATGTGGTGGAACGGGAGATTCGCATCATGGATGTGCAGCCGACAAATCTGCGGCAACTGTGTGATGCCATCATGTCAATATGGACCAAACTCCCTGAGGAATGCTTCCAGCACCTTGTTGAATCTATGCCACGAAGAATTGAGGCAGTTCTGAAGGCAAAAGGCGGTCCAACCCGTTACTAGCATGGGGTCCCTAATAAAGTGGCCGGTGAGTGTATATATATATATATACATATGTATATATATATGTATGTATATATATATATATATATATATATATATATGTATATGTATATGTATATATATATATATATATGTATGTATATGTATATATATATATATATATATGTATGTATATATATATATGTATATATATATATATATATGTATATATATATATGTATGTATATATATATATATATGTATATATATACACTATATTGCCAAAAGTATTTGCTCACCCATCCAAATTATTGGAATCAGGTGTTCCAATCACTTCCATGGCCACAGGTGTATAAATTCAAGCACCTAGGCATGCAGACTGTTTTTACAAACATTTGTGAAAGAATGGGTCGCTCTCAGGAGCTCAGTGAATTCCAGCGTGGAACTGTGATAGGATGCCACCTGTGCAACAAATCCAGTCGTGAAATTTCCTCGCTCCTAAATATTCCACAGTCAACTGTCAGCTGTATTATAAGAAAATGGAAGTGTTTGGGAACGACAGCAACTCAGCCACGAAGTGGTAGGCCACGTAAACTGACGGAGCGGGGTCAGCGGATGCTGACGCGCATAGTGCGAAGAGGTCGCCAACTTTCTGCAGAGTCAATCACTACAGACCTCCAAACTTCATGTAGCTCAAGAACAGTGCGCAGAGAGCTTCATGGAATGGGTTTCCATGGGCGAGCAGCTGCATTCAAGCCATACATCACCAAGTGCAATGCAAAGCGTCGGATGCGGTGGTGTAAAGCACGCCGCCACTGGACTCTAGAGCAGTGGAGACGCGTTCTCTGGAGTGACGAATCGCGCTTTTCCATCTGGCAATCTGATGGACGGGTCTGGGTTTGGCGGTTGCCAGGAGAACGGTACTTGTCTGACTGCATTGTGCCAAGTGTAAAGTTTGGTGGAGGGGGGATTATGGTGTGGGGTTGTTTTTCAGGAGCTGGGCTTGGCCCCTTAGTTCCAGTGAAAGGAACTCTGAATGCTTCAGCATACCAAGACATTTTGGACAATTCCATGCTCCCAACTTTGTGGGAACAGTTTGGAGCTGGCCCCTTCCTCTTCCAACATGACTGTGCACCAGTGCACAAAGCAAGGTCCATAAAGACATGGATGACAGAGTCTGGTGTGGATGAACTTGACTGGCCTGCACAGAGTCCTGACCTCAACCCGATAGAACACCTTTGGGATGAATTAGAGCGGAGACTGAGAGCCAGGCCTTCTCGTCCAACATCAGTGTGCGACCTCACAAATGCGCTTCTGGAAGAATGGTCAAAAATTCCCATAAACACACTCCTAAACCTTGTGGACAGCCTTCCCAGAAGAGTTGAAGCTGTTCTAGCTGCAAAGGGTGGACCGACGTCATATTGAACCCTATGGATTAGGAACGGGATGTCACTTAAGCTCATATGTGAGTCAAGGCAGGTGAGCAAATACTTTTGGCAATATAGTGTATGTATATGTATATATATATATATATATATATATATATATGTATGTATATATATATATATATATATATATATTCATATGTATATATATATATATATATACAGGTGCTGGTCATAAAATTAGAATATCATGAAAAAGTTGATTGATTTCAGTAATTTCCATTTAAAAAGTGAAACTTGTATATTATATTCATACATTACATACAAACTCATATATTTCAGATGTTTATTTTGTTTAATTTTGATGATTACAAATGACAACAAATGAAAATCTCAAATTCATCATATCAGAAAATTAGAATATTACTGAAGACCAATAAAAACAAAGGATTTATAGAAATGTTGGCCAACTGAAAAGTACGAACATGAAAAGTATGAGCATGTACAGCACTCAGTATTTAGTTGGGCCTCCTTTGGCCTGTATTACTGCAGCAATGCGGCGTGGCATGGAGTCGATCAGTCTGTGGCACTGCTCAGGTATTATGATAGCCCAGGTTGCTCTAATAGTGGCTTTTAGCTCTTCTGAATTGTTGGGTCTGGTGTATTGCATCTTCTTCTTCACAATACCCCATAGATTTTCTATGGGGTTAAGGTCAGGAGAGTTTGCTGGCCAATTAAGAACAGGGATACCATGGTCCTTCAACCAGGTACTGGTAGCTTTGGCACTGTGTGCAGGTGCCAAGTCCTGTTGGAAAATGAAATCTGCATCTCCAAAAAGTTGGTCAGCTGCAGGAAGCATGAAGTGCTCTAAAACTTCCTGGTATGTGGCTGCGTTGACCCTGGACCTCAGAAAACACAATGGACCAACACCAGCAGATGACATGGCAACCCAAACCATCACTGACTGTGGAAACTTTACACTGGACTTCAAGCAACGTTGATGAAGTGCCTCTCTTCTTTTCCTCCAGACTCTGGGACCTTGATTTCCAAAGGAAATGCAAAATTTACTTTCATCAGAGAACATGACTTTGGACCACTCACCAGCAGTCCAGTCCTGTTTCTCTTTAGCCCAGGCAAGACGCTTCTGACGCTGTCTGTGGTTCAAGAGTGGCTTGACACAAGGAATGCGACAGCAGAAACCCATGTCTTTCATACGTCTGTGTGTGGTGGTTCTTGAAGCACTCACTCCAGCTGCAGTCCACTCTTTGTGAATCTCCCCCACATTTTTGAAGGGGTTTTGTTTCCCAATCCTCTCCAGGGTGCGGTTATCTCTCTTGCTTGTACACTTTTTTCGACCACATCTTTTCCTTCCCTTCGCCTCTCTATTAATGTGCTTGGACACTGAGCTCTGTGAACAGCCAGCCTCTTTAACGATGACCTTTTGTGTCTTGCCCTCCTTGTGCAAGGTGTCGATGGTCGTCTTTTGGACAACTGTCAAGTCAGCAGTCTTCCCCATGATTGTGTAGCCTATAGAACTAGACTGAAAGACCATTTAAAGGCTTTTGCAGGTGGTTTGAGTTAATTAGCTGATTAGAGTGTGGCACCAGGGGCCATCAATTTTGAACCTTTTCACAATATTCTAATTTTCTGATATGATGAATTTGAGATTTTCATTTGTTGTTATTTGTCATCAAAATTAAACAAAATAAACATCTGAAATATATGAGTTTGTATGTAATGTATGAATATAATATACAAGTTTCACTTTTTAAATGGAATTACTGAAATCAATCTACTTTTTCATGATATTCTAATTTTATGACCAGCACCTGTATATATACATATGTATATGTATATATATACAGTATATATATAAAAAGATAAAACTTTGGCAACCTTTATTCCCTAAGGTGGCATGTGGCTGAATTTCTACTTCACTGCAAAAAAAAAAAAAAAAATGGTGTTTTGTATTGGCCTGTAGAAAAATGCACATACCAATTGGCTCACAAGAAGTGACTGTGGATGAGATTACTGCGCGTACGCATCCCCGCAGCATTGGCATGTTGCTCCACAGGTGCAGGGGGGAGGTCTGGTTTCTCTGTTAGGGCATCAGGGCGACATGGCATTTAGAACGTCAGACAGCACTTCTGAAAAACTAGATTGGGAGATCCAATGTTGCAAGGAGTTTTGTGATATCTGGTATTGCGTGGGTCCTCCTTGTGGCTGGCTCCAAATCCCCCAACAGCTCCAAAATGGCAATGCTGGATAAACGAAATGTTTTGATGATCGTTTCCTCGTTCATTCCAAAAATATTCACACGGAGTGAAAAAATGCGTTCTCTGCGTCTCCTTGCTTCATTTCGATGTCTCCTTCTTGCGACAATAACCGCTGCCATGTGTGCGCAATTACGCATACAGACCATTTGCACCTTCTTTTGAAACGTGTTAAACATAGAGTCAGATACCGTTAGCAAAATTGCTTTCAGGTTTAATAAATCACTTTGCGAGTGCTAAATTAATATATTTACATGTTCTCCTCCCACAAGACGCACTTTTCCGTGTAAACGCCCCATATTGCATATTCATTGCAGAAAAAGTACTAAATGGATAAGGGGCGCTATTTAGCAGGTTTTAAAGACCAAATTATTTTAGCATGCTGTTGATAGATCAGTTTGTACATTTTTTAGCGTGCGCAGTGAAATAGCTCACATTTTTATACACGCAAACCATTGATAGATCCAGCCCTTAGTGGATTATTTCCAACTGGAGCTTTCAGAGTCCCTGGACAAGTTTGTTTGTGAATGTCATTTAGTCCTATCAGTTGCAACACTCTTAATAATAATCTTATAGTGTTGATGAAACATTTTATAGGCATTCTGGTAATATTAAAACACTTTATGTTAATTTCCAAAAAGCCGCAGGACCACTTTCCAAATACTTAAAGATTTACAAATACTTTTAATCAAATATTTATTTATTTATTTTTTTATAAGAGATAATGTACTGCATTGATTCATTTGTTGTTTAGTTGCATGTGTAGATTACTTGGGTTTTTACTTGGATATAGTGTGAATTTTATATAGCTTTAAATATTAGGACTATACTTTGTTAGGAAACCATTGTTACATTCTATACTTGTTTTATATTATATTATAAGTAAGTATAAGTATTTTAATTTGAAAGCAATATTAAGTCTTTAATTGTGAAATTATGTTTTCTAATTTGATTCAATTTTAGGGAAGCAATGGAAAGCATGGAAAAGATGGAGAGAAAGGTGACAAAGGAGATATTGGACTTCAAGGCATGAAGGGCAATCAGGTATTTTAAAACAAAACAAGTAATAGAACTGGATATAATGTTAAGATTAACACTTTATTGCAATGTGAGTTTGGATTTAAAAGTGGAGCCTTAGAATTTGAGTCAAGTTTCTTTAAATATTTTATGTAAAAATTTGGTGTGTATTTGATTCAAATGTTTTTCACAGGGTGATCCTGGAGAACCTGGCTTACCAGGAGAAAGAGGAGAAAAAGGAGAAAAGGTTTGGACATTCATCATTTCATTCTGTTGTCCAATTTATTGTTTTCTCTATTCTGATTTGCCGTAAATGTGTTTCCTCCTTCTTCAGGGTTTCAGGGGTTTTCATGGACGCACTGGTAGTCCCGGTCTAGATGGTGAAAAGGTTAGCCCTATGTTGGAATCTCTTTAATTAATTTCATCACATATAATCCTATCTGCAATTCTTAGCAAAGCAGATTTTTTGCTTTTGAACATTTTCACATATTTTAGAAAATACTTTTAGAAATTTTGAGATGGTATGTTTTGGGACAAAACCTATTAGAATATTTATTTTTTGAAACAAAAAACTGAGGCATGTTTTTCTCTAAGCAAAACAAAATTGTCACTTTTTCTTATTCTTTTCTCTCACTGTGCAATAACACATGCCAACTACTGTGTAGCCTGTTTAATTTTTTTTTACTTATTAATAAGGTCAGTACATCTCTGCAGTACAAGTCCAATAATCCAAGTCAACTGCTTTGTAGTCTTTCCTTAGCTCTCTACTGTGCAGATATTATTATATCTAAGGGAAACATAATTCAGGACATTACAACTTTTTTTAATGCTTTTTTGGTACTACACTGCCTGGCCAAAAAAAAAAAGTTGCCACCAAAAAAAAGGTCATTCACTTCTGCAATGTCAAAAGATTTATTTCCATCCAGTGTTGCATTAATTTTTCACCAAGATCTTGCATTGATCATGGTAGAGTCTGACCGCTGCGCAAAGCCCTCTGTAGCAAATCCCAAAGATTCTCAATGGGGTTGAGGTCTGGACTCTGTGGTGGCCAATCCATGTGTGAAAATGATGTGTCATGCTCCCTGAACCAGTCTTTCACAATTTGAGCCTGATGAATCCTGGCATTGTCATCTTGGAATATGCCTGTGCCATCAGGGAAGAAAAAGTCCATTGATGGAATAACCTGGTCATTCAGTATATTCAGGTAGTCAGTTGACTTCATTCTTTGAGCACATACTGCTGCTGAACCTAGACCTAACCTAGACCTGACCTGCAGCAACCCCAGATCATAATACCGCCCCCACAGGCTTGTACAGTAGGCACTAGGCATGGTGGGTGCATCACTTCACCTGCCTCTCTTCTTACCCTGATTCGCCCATCGCTCTGGAACAGGGTAAATCTGGACTCATCAGACCACATGACCTTCTTCCATTGCTCCACAGTCCAATCTTTATGCTCCCTGGCAAATTGAAGCCTTTTTTGTCCAGTTAGCCTCACTGATTAGTGGTTTTCTCACAGCTACACAGCTGTTCAGTCCCAATCCCTTGAGTTCCCTTCGCATTGTGCGTGTGGAAATGCTCTTACTTTCAGTATTAAACATAGCCCTGAGTTCTACTGTTGTTTTTCTTCGATTTGATCTCACCACACTTTTAAGTGATCGGCAATTACGATCATTCAGGATTTTTTTGGCCACATATCTTCCTTGAAGATGATGGGTCCCCACCATCCTTCCAGTTTTTCATAATGCGTCGGACAGTTCTTAACCCAATTTTAGTAGTTTCTGCAATCTCTTTAGATGTTTTCTCTGCTTGATGCATGCCAATGATTTGACCCTTCTCAAACAGACTAACATCTTTTCCACGACCACGGGATGTCTTTCGACATGGTTGTTTAGGAAATGAGAAGCAAGTCATTGCACCAGTTGGGGTTAAATAACTTGTTGCCAGCTGAAAGATAATCGCCCATGCAGTAATTATCCAATAGGAGGCTCGTACCTATTTGCTTAGTTGAATCCAGGTGGCGACTTAATTTTTGGCCAGGCAGTGTATATACACTCTTTATATTGGCTTTCATATTTTTATCTTTCATTGCATATTGCTTAAACCCTTTGTACTCTATATAAGCTACTGGAAACAAACTATCCTAAAGGAGTAATCCCAAGGGATAAATAAAGTTGTGTCTATGTCTAAAAATCTCAAAGGTGTGGCATGAACATCTATTCAGTCCCCTCTGATAGATGGAAATGCAATGATGTCCTTAAATCTGCTGAATATTTTGATTCCTCTGTGTCTAATTCAATCTCAGTATTAATGCAGTTGTTGTGCAGAGGCCTCAGATGTTCGTTAGAGAAAATAAGGGAAAAGCTGCAATATAAAAAGGAAGTTTAAAACAGACAAACAATATCCCAAACCTTTTTTACTTAAAAACTCTGTTCAATCGATTATACAAGAATTTAAGAAAATTCGGCACCACCAAAACATTACAGCGAAGGTAAAAAAAAATCACAGAACATCTTGAGCTTAACCACCCTCTGGCACTGTCCCAATGAATGGGAAGTTAGATTGAGCTAAATACAAGGCTAATTTAAAATCAGAACAGGTAGAGGGGCTGCAAACTCAAGTTTACATTAAGCCTTATTCAGGATATAGAAAGGCAAGTCCAGACCTGAAGCCAACTGATCATTTGTAGTAGTTCTTAAACATTAGCTTTGCTGATTTTTTTAATTTATCTATGTGACTTAAAGCTATTTTGCAAAGTAATGCTTGTAAAACGTCTTGCTGATAAATTCATGTGTCAAACAACTTGCAGCAGTTTGTTCTGCTAAACGAAGTCCTAATGCTGCTGAAGGCCTTTTTTATGTTTTTTTTTAATAAATATATGTATATTTTTTAAATGTGTTCCTTACCCTCAACCTAATGGCTATTTACTAGTTTGTTAATTTACCATGAAAAATCCCCCCCAAAATACGTTGACGGTTGTAGTTGTAATACAGTAATATGTGAAGGTATCATATCTTTAAAACAGGGAGATCCGGGTTTGCCTGGTAGTGCAGGTTTACCAGGACTTAATGGACTCACAGGGCGTAAGGTAAACACACTAATGAACTCATAGTTCCCTTTATATCAATCAGAGGCATACTATATAATCATTTATACCATATGCAATGAATCTTAGGGTGATAAAGGAGAAGGAGGGACCAATGGGAGTGACGGTGATCCAGGACAGAAAGGAGATAAGGTTTGCACAATAAATCTAACTCACACTAGATATGTATTTATAGTTTTAAATGTAAAGCAAAACAGTCTCTTTTTGTTTCCCTAACTTAATTCTGAAAATATATAATATTTTGCCTAATGTAGGGTGCTACAGGGTTCCCAGGATTTCCAGGCTTCAAGGGATCAGCTGGAAGTCCAGGAAGAGATGGAGATGAGGGACCGCCGGGACCTCCAGGTCCTCATGGTGATCCAGGGCCTAAGGTATCAATTAATAATTGAACTTTATTGATCTCATATTGGAGAAAATTACATCTGTATTTAACCCATACCCTTTGGGAGCAGTGGGCTACCAATGTGCGGTGGGAGTGGGGCTCAAACTAAGAACCTCAGGATTCCAATCTCTATGCCCTAACCACTAGGCTACCACTGCCCCTATTTTATGTTGGAATCCACTTGTGTCATTAGTGCTGTGCAAAAGAGGGACATTGAACATAAAGGTAATAGGGGTTGATTTAATGACATTAGTATAGAATAAACCTATTTATCAAATAATCTTAGTTTTCATATTCCTACCTTCTAAGATAGAAATAACATTTTTAGAAAAAACAACAACAAGGAAAGTCTATCCTAAACCTGGAAACGAACTCATAACATTAGTAAAGCAAAGAGTATGATCAACAAAATTCAAGTCATATTGAAATGACAATTAAACCTGATATTTTCTGTTACTGTTAACTCAGTTTGTTTTAGTAGGTCTGGAAATCCTGTAGTTTGTTATCTAGCTGCAGGCAATTGTAAATTTTGTGATCCAAGTCCTCTGATTTAAACATCTAATCTTTAAATAAATAAATTATCTTTGGTAACTATAAAAGTTATGTAATCTTTCCACTGTTTTAACCAGGGCACCATTCTTTCACATGTTTGCAGTGTTCCCCACATAGCTTGTGACAAACTCAAAACAAGTTTTTTTTATTGCTTTCCTTAAGCAATAATTTTCTTCTTGCCACTCTTTTATAAAGGACTAAGTTTTTTAATGTTTAACCAATAGATATCTTGTTAGAAATCCTCCAGCTTTAGCATTGGATTGCGTCACTCCTCGAGAGCATTAGTGAGTTCCTAGGGCGCTTTTTTGATTTGTATAATCTTTGCTCAGGTGTCACTTTCGACCATCTCTTGGTAGGCCTGAAATTGTGTAATTTGGGGTGACTAATCATGCAAACAGTATGTCTGGGTCTCGCAAACTTGGCAGACTTTTCTGTACCATCAATGATGGCCAGCTTAAAAAAGTGATTAAAAGCAGATTTAATATCAATAATTTTGTCTTAGCAAAGTGTTTTTGTAGATGGTCTTAGATATCTTATATCAAATCTACCATGAAATAAAATTAAATAATCCAATGAAAATATTATGCAAGTACTGCTGCTAAACACACGTTTTTTTGTAAATATTCTTATTCCCAAATAAATTTCTCCACTTCATGTAGAAACACAACAGGGGTGGATTGAATACGTGACATGATGATGAGGACGAGCAGAGCTTGATTACAGTCATCATCTTGCCTTCGTGAGAGAACGACAGCATGTGCTCGCAGTGCTGGGGTTCTGAAGACAGCGGAGACATGTCCCAAATTAACACACACACACACATACACACACAGAGAGGTCTATTCTCGTCTGCAGCCTTCAAGTAATATCTTACTCAATTACATCCTTTCAGCAACAATTACCGGACTTTCCGTGTTAATAGAGAGTGGCTTGAAAATGCTAATGAGGATATTCCAAGGATGCCACTAACTGATATGTCTTTCATAGCGTGTAAAAGTTATGCATTTGAGGCTGTAATACCTGCATTAAGATGCATTTTCCTCTGTGTAGGGCGAGAGAGGCAGAAGAGGCAAATCGAAACCATGTCAGAGGGGGCTGCCTGGAACACAAGGGCTACGAGGAGAAACTGTAAGATTTAGAGTTGAAAACTAATTTGTTTATTCCTTATGCCAATTGTTCCGCTTCGGGTTATACTGTATACAGTTTGGGTTCTAGTAATAATTCTAAGAAGCAAAACAAGATAACTAAAAAATACAAAAACATTTACAGTCCTTTATAAGATTCTTCTGATTTAGAAATGAAGCATTATGCATTGGAAAATTAAATATCTTTGTTCCTTTAGTTTAGTTTTTTTTTTTTTATGGGTGCAGTTTGTCACACTTATCTAGTTGTAAGGTAAAGGAGTCACATGGTTCTGCTGTTCTTTGTGATCTAGTCGCTGAAATGTTGGAGCCAGTGCTCTATTTAGATATTCTATTTTATATTTATACAAGATGTTGCTACTTCTTTTCCATAAACTATTACCATTTAGAACAACATGGGTTGTACTGTGTTGTATTTTTTAGAGGTTTCTAAAACTTTTGAATTACATTTTATTCATATTTGTGAAAAAAGTCTGAATGTCATCAAGAAAATACTCTTAATCTCTGCACATATAAAGTAAACTCATTACCTCTCTATTTTTCTGTGGGTCAAAACACTTATTAACATTGCTTATGTTGCCTCTTTAATCTGAATATTGTATCACATTAAAGATTGTATTTGTGTATTCGATACACAGATTGAATCTGTGTTTCGAACAAAGGTTGTATATATAAAATTTGGCCTTCTCCATCAAGAAATAGTTATTTTTTTGCTGTGAGTTCACTTTAAAATTTCCTTTTCTCTACTTTAGGATTGCTTGTCCATTTTGAGGGTTGAAAACGTCATAATTTCTAAATAGTTATTATTAGATTAATAAAATACCCCAAAAGACCTTTTAGTATTCTGCATGCCAAGTACATTTTCAAAATAGCAGACAGAGCTCATGCCAGCTTTAGCACCAGATTAAAAAGGTATTTATAATCCATAGCTCACACTGATGTACATAAGTGATACAATTTAGAATCTATACAACAATGATAAATAAGTATTAGGTTAAAGAATTTGAAATTTTATTTGTGCTACTTTATCTGGACCGAGTTACTTAATTTTCACAGTTTCCTTCATAAACTATTTTAAGGACAATATTGTCACTAATACTGGAAATCCTTAAAATAAAGATGCTCATTTTTTATTTCCATTAGGGTTCAGAGGGTTTGGAAGGAGCGAAAGGAGAGAAAGGAGAGCCTGGACTATCAGTACGTCAACTAGATATCTCCTTTCATAAATGCTTTAAAAAGTTTCTGAATAACAGGCTTCTTAAATGCTGTATCTCTGTGTGAAGGCTGAGGAAGTAAAGGAGCTTGTCACTCAGGAGGTGGTAGAAAAATGTGGTAAGAGGATTCACAATTTTGAAGACATATTTTATGCAGGAACTTTCCTTTGTATTTTGTCGAAACCTGAATAAGCATGTTTTTTTAGGGAGACCTACATATTTGAATGAGTATGTGCTTATTCTTGTCTACACGTGTGGCTATTTGATGTCAAGCTCCTGTAGCAGCAACATGACACCCCTGTGTGTTGAGCCATCTGTTATGTTCTCTCAGAGGAACACACACCATGGTGCCTGTAACACTAAAACCATTCACAAACACGAGACTACAATTAGGAGGGACACCTCCTCAAAATATTCAATGCATATATAAAACATCCAAAGTATAAAATTTTGTTGTCAACTCAAATATTACACATCCTTTTTGTTTGCAAGATCTTTACCTATGAAATAACAACATAAACAGTATGCATGCAAATTCAATGCAACTTTTTCCTTCAAGGTTTTTTTTTTAGTATTGTATTATATACTGGTATTTTATTTCCCTACGATGTAACTATTTGGATATTGCAGGGCTGGAATACAAGTTTATGGTGAAGTCTGTGGATCCTGATGCATCGTATGTGGTACCTGGAAGCAAAACTACCACTAAGCTAGAAGAGTTTGCGGATGCTATCTCTACTGCTGAAAGTATTGATTGGAGGGAACAAAGCATTCGGAAAGATGAACATAACATCAAGATGAAAGAAATGAAAAGTGTTTCTCTGCTAAATCTTGAAGAAGCCCAGATTTCACTTAACCTCACTGGTAAGAACAAACTGCAACATAAATGTCAGCAGATTTGCACCCCCTGGCCAAGCACACAGATTGCTTAGCTACAGTGTGACCAAGAGTGGGACTAAATGAGCACACAACTCAAACTTATGTGGAGCAGCTGTGTGGTGGACATTTAAAATGTCCTCTCTGTGGGTCCTTTCCCATCTGAGATTATGGGGGTGATTTTGGAACAAGCTGTGTCATTAGTGCACCCCGACTTGTCTTGGCAAATATTCTGCATGAAAACTGATGGAAAACATAGGAACAGAGGTGAATTATTTGGTTGACAAACACAAATATAAAATAATTAAAGAGAAACCAAAATTGTTGAGTTAGTTACTCGTTTCTAAAGTATATTTCCACATCTTAATTTAATTCAACATCAAAATTCAATGTTGTTTTTAGGGATAGACCAAAACAATTGGTTTTCATATTATTTCTGTGAATAAAAAGAGAAGGTTTAGTATGAATAACTTTTCAGTCTCTTGTTAAACTACTCTACTCTATGAGTCCTACCTATGCAAGGGAATTCAAGTGTGATCATTGATTGTTCACCAATGTTCTCCAAGAAATCTGTAAAACCTTCAAAGAGCAGCTGTATGTACAATGAAATTTAATCACACACAGTGGGCCTCTGTACTAATTAGTCGCATCCGAAAACTGTTGCAATTGATTTCTTTAACCTAATTTGACCTAATCTGTACCAGCTGGGGGCAAGTTGGCACCAAGATCTGTTTGTATGTATGTGTGAGGGGAACCTACCTCATAGTCATACAAGCAAAACCACAGCTGGACATAGGCAGGTAGAGTAAACATGTTAAGTATCCAAATGGATGTTTCCCACAGCTTTTGAAAAATATAGTCAGACATAATATGTTTGAGCAGATTCTTTTTATTTTACTGAAAACTTTATTTGTAAGTCTGCATTACAGTATAAGTCTATAACCTCTTGTAAATCTATCATTATAGATTAAAAAAAACAAAAAACATTGGGCACTTGTACTAAACCTATACAGTAATTATCTGTCCATCTCAAATTGAGCAGATTACGTGAACGATAACAACTTAAATAGTAATAGAATGGTTCTCAGGAAAAATTGAGAAATGGTTTAAACTGTAATCCAGGGGGATTTTAGTGATTATAAAAGATATGACTGATGTTTTGGTTTTACAGAATAAGGTAATGAATGTCAGCTGCATTGGAATCTAAATTCTGGACACTATTTGGCTGTCACGGTAGCTTTTGATTATTCATATTCATAAAGATTTTAAATCTTTAAATATTTAAAGATGGGTGAATATTGTTAAATCACTTTTTTCTGCCTTTTTTTTCTTTGGGTGTGAAGAAAAAAAGACTTGCAGAACAAGCAGTGTCCATTTAGCTTTACAATCTTGATTGAATTGTAATTAATGTAAAACTACTAAAACACTGTTTACTCTGATATTGTCTTGACTATGGGCCCTCGAGGGACTAAAGCCAACTCAATTGTAATTGTACAAGGGACAGGATGTCGTGCATTTGCATTCTAGATGAGAACAGTAAAAAAACAAAAAAACACAAAAACATGTATTTTCAAGTGCAGCAACTATTCTACAAAGATTACACACAAATAAAAGATAAAAAAAAAAAACTTTTTTTGTTGATATTCTTATTGTCATTTTAAACCATTCACAATTTTGCTTCAAGCCTACAATCATGCACAACTTTGTTTTTGTCTTTGATTAAAAAAAAATCAAATTAAATTAACCTAAAACTATTGATTGAAAGGTGATGAAATATACTTTTTGCAAAGTACTGTATTTGAATTGTATCGCGCCTATCTCCTAACAGTTTAAATCTTATTTTTTTTACTTTTTGAATATCATAAATCTATAAATGAGTGTTTATTTTGTTCCTCCGGTAACAATTTGAGAGCTTTCCATGTTTGAAGAGTTTTTCAAAAACCTAAATGTTAGCCAGGATTCCCCTTAGAACTTAAAGTTTGCATAACAAAGTTAAAATATATATGAAAAGATACCCTTATACAGCATTCAAACAAGTTTAAAATGCCGCTGGCTCTCATTAGGTGCTGTTCCAGAGAGAGTGGCTATGTGTCAATCTTTGATGGTCAACCTCAGCACAGTGTTCAGCTTCTGATTAGATGTATTTCTGTCTTTAGATCCTCTTGAAGGATGGGCTGTGAAGTCGAGAGAGAGGAGGAGGAGAAGAAGAGTATCTGGTACCAAGGATACTGGTGAGTGGCCACGACTACAATTTCTTTTCCTATCTCGGCTATATCCCTTGGTAAATTGCTCAGTCTTTTTGGACTTTCCCCCTTTTGACCTCTTTTTTGCATACATCGCTTGAAGCAGTTGTTAAAACTGAACTGTACAGGCTAGCTTTAATATGCTATTTCTATATTTCGATTTCATACTGTTTATCAAAACATAAAAAATAACTCTTGGCTCTTACATTTAAGTAAATAAAGCCACAAATAAAGAGCATAATGGCATATATAAACATCTTCAACAGAGAAATAACAAGTAATCTAACAAATTTTGATAGCTAACAGAAAAGTAATTTGCTTTAAGACCTCGTAGGTATATTTTTTAATCTCTGTAAAATCAGTAAGTGTGTAATTAGTTATCAATTTTTAATGATAATAACCCAATCTGAAATATATTTTCACACTGAATTGCATTTACTTCATTATGAGGCCTAAACTTAATGACGGCTTTCTTTCTTTTTTTGTTGTTGCTATTATTCAATTATAATATTTACTTCAAATATGGCAAAGCAATGTTCTTAAAAGTATGCCGGTACCCCTTGTAAAGATGCATCAGAAGCTTTATATAACATTTTCATACCATATAATTAAATCATTAATTCAAGTGCATTTGTCCCTTGGGGAATGGGATTCCCATACAAGCATCTTTTTTAAATTTTCTTTTATCTTATGGGGTGGTGTTGTTGCATGAAAAACAAAATCAAAATGGATAAAACAAAATAAAAGATAATAGTCTTCCAGAAATCAAAATCTTCCAAGAACCCTGCTGTTAAAATAAATGTAAAGGAATATTGGAGGTTAACCTGAAAATGGCTGGGGTTAGACAGCTTCCTCACGCATTGATCACCAGGGAAAAATCATCCAACCATTCAAAATTTCCCCACTTTCCTTGATGAGCCCTTGGCTGGTCCTTCGTTGGTCCACTACAATTCCTTTTCAAACATCAATCTTTGTACGAAAATATTCTTTCTGTCATGATTTATGGACATTAAGATCTAAAGAGAAGCACCATCTTCCTGTAATTCAGTCAAAGGGTGGTGTTAGAGTAAAAAAACATGCATACCTAGGAGAAGGAGGGGTTCACTGCAGTGGCTGGAAGTTGGATGGGATTCTGCTGGGAAAGTGGGCTGCCATTCAACAGGAAAGTGGGCTGCCATTCAGCTGGTGTTTGACTGGGACGGGCCATTTTTAATGGCTGCCACTGTACAATGACCACACTGTTTATTGCACCAGATAAATTTACCAGAGTAACTTGAAGTTTGCACCAGAGTTCCTAAGAGAGGGCACACTACAGAGCTTCGAGAACATAGGGCATACCCCAATCAGTCTCTTGCAGAGCCAGCAATGAGTGCAAACTAGGAGTACCACACAGAATAAGACAGACCAGACCTTTGCTAACCACAGAACTTTCATCAACAGATGCATAATGATTAGAAATTGCAGAATTAGATCACTAGACAGAAAACTAGGTTTACATTATGGGCTGAGGAACACTGATAAAAAAAATACCATCTGTTGTTTTAACATTGATGATTAGAGGGAAATCTTGCAGAGATTATAGTGCACCTGATAGGGTCATAACACCATATCAACCTCCCGGTGGCCGCGCGAACAGCTGGAGACATTGAGGGTTGGAGGCCAGAAAGCTGCTGGCTAGTCTGGCAAGTCTGCACGATCTGTTTCAGTGCCTCCATAGCAGCTAACCCAAAAAAAAGCCCTAACACACCTGTGACACCACTAAGGGTCCTACAGCATGCATCAGTCTGAGGAGCCTGCACCAGCCAGACATGTTGACAAGCTTGGACAAGCAAAGACATGAATCTTTCAAGCCCTCTGTTTATGAGCGCAAAGGCCTGCAATGCTGTGTCGCTATATCCAACTGCATCAGTTGCCCATCCTGTAGGAATGCAGATAGGGCAAACAATAGGTGTGCCAAAGACTTGCCAAGGTGGTCAGCACACAATCCTGAATTGTTTGCCTCGCATCAGAAATTAGGATGCATGGCTTCATCAAGTAAAAAATTATAGCAAGGTTCAACAACTGGCATGTGGTTCAGGCCTGTCTTGACTGACTTTTGCATGGTAGCCAACACCCAACCATGTGTGGGGAGACATGACAACACCTTTGGGTCATGCCAATAGATGTGCAACGCCTTTTGGTACTCCTCTGATGGAGGGACAGGAAAGAAAATAGGAGCCGATCCGCTCCTGAAAAACACACTTCCAAAGGTAAGACAACTGACCTTGCAGGAGTTCCAACTACAGCTTCCTCAGGGAAATACACGTGGCATCCTACATAGAACTGTTCCTTTGCTCACCAACTGTGCCCTGTGATTAAAATGAACCACTCTGAGACTTAAAAGGACTATGCCACCTCCTCCTAAACTCTAAAATGAAAGGCAGATGCAGCAAGAGAAGAAACATACTACTCCGCAGACAAACAAGGGATGGGTGGGGAAGAGAGCCACCGGAAGTCATGCATAATACTGACATTTCTACAACAAGGACGATCAACTACGACGACAAACCCTCAACCCTCATGGCCAGGTCCTGATTGGGCGTGGCCTGCTTCCTCTCAAAGGGGGTACAAGGACAATGGTGCTTTGAACACCTGAATGGGGCCACCTTTCCAGATGGCGGGAGGTCTGCATTATCCTGAGGGCATAACTAGGCCAACCAAGCTATCCTTACTCCATGAGGCAGGAAACCACAGTTCATGCATGTGTCCTCAGACAGCATCTCTACAAGGGGATGTCCTCCAAGGCAGGTAGTGCACAGGTTGTGGCCATCATTTGCCTGAAATACATCCCCAAAATCCATGTACCAGTGGTTTCCATTGATGTCCAACATCAACAACAAGGCTCACCCAACCTCAGATGGGAAAAGAAATTAGCTCCAGTCGGGAGAGATGGTGTAAACACTGCTGTCACCAGTTTTAAACGAGCAGTCAGACAAAAAGTGACCAAGAGGCTGAGAATGGAAGCAGGGGCAAAAAAGACGACATCATCAATTGTGATAAAGCACAGCTAAATAAAGCTAACACGATCAGCCACACTGTCCATTACACTGGGAAAGGGGGGCAAAAACCGCAGTCATAATCAGGTATAAACCAAACAAAGAAAAGACAAACTAAGAAGTTGGTCATACTGGGAGTGAGGGGAAAATGCTGCTGTCAATAGTCTTTAAGAAAACATAGTAGCAACCATTCAGTAAAGGTACCTCAAACATGGTAACAACAAACCTTGAGCTGGGAGAGTTGGCAATAATGCTACAATCCCCAACAAATGACAAAGATAACTGCAAAAGTCCTTCATGATGATTAAATCTTTGCAGGACTGGAAGTGCAAAAATACTGCAGCTTCAGCCAGCAAAATAGCCTCAACATGTGTCAGTATACAAAGCTTCTGAGTGGTCCAAGTGTCACTCTGTTGATATAATAACCTGCACTTTGTATCAGTGTTGTTTTTGACAGCTATTATTACTTCTAGTCGCATTTTAGTTATTTCGATATTATATAGCTGCCATCTCTCCAGGACCTGTATGTCTCCAGGACCAGGGGGTGTGCAGGTCGCATCACAGCTAACCCTTCTCACCCTGGACACAGACTGTTTGAGCCTCTCCCCTCAGGGAGGAGGCTACGGTCCACACGGACCAGAACCTCCCGCCATAAAAACAGCTTCTTCCCCTCTGCCATAAGACTCATGAACACCTAACTATATGTCAGAACCTATAACCTGCCCATGCCATTTACACTGCTCTATTTGCACTCCTTGTAAGATGCTAGTTTACTTTTTATATTTAATATCCATATTTTTATCTTAAGTGTATATATTATTCTATTTTATTGCATGCCTTATACCCATAGTGTTTTAGATATTTTTATAATTTTATTTACCTATTCCATATATGTTTCATGTTGAATGATTGTACCATAAAAAATTCCTAGTTTGTGAACTCCTTCACTAACAATGGCAATAAACCTGATTCTGATTCTGATTTTAGTTGGTTTTAGTCTAACTATCATCTTTGATCAATGACAATGTAAACTTGGTTTTGCATTCTATGACCCCTTTAATGTTTTTAACTAATTATACTGCACCATGTATAGAGAACTCAAATAACTGCAGCTAGTTCATCTAATCTCTTCTTCAACCTTCTTTACCTCACTTGTGCTTTCAGTGACAGACCGCTGTTTGCTGCCAATGTCAGAAGGAGCTTGTTTGGACTACGCACTGGTCTGGTATTTCCACATCCAATCAGGGAAATGCAGGCCTTTTGTTTATGGTGGCTGTGGTGGCAACCAAAATCGATTTCCATCCAGAAAGGAGTGTGAAACTCTATGTGTGATAAAAGGTGGCGCTATAGACTTTATGGAGGAACTACCTTCAGACAGATGATCCTATCCTGGAATCAGCTGTCTGACAAAGTTTCAGTAAATCAATATGGTGTTATGCTTTGTTTTCGTTTTCTGTGTTTTTTTTTATACATTTTTTTGTGTGTGTGAAAATTTTTGTTTTTTTCTTCTTACAAATGTTTAATTCTGACAAAATTGTTGACCAAAATATGAACAAATGTTCAAATCTGTATTTTATCTTTACTTTTGTCATGTTTTTTATGGGTAAAACCAACTTGATTGGACCTATTTAATGTGATTATAAGGAATGCTACTGAAAAAATAAAACTGCTTTGTGTTTGTGATTTTATTACATCTTATTTCATCCCTACCTCTTCTCTTCATATCCATGTTACCTTTCTTTTACCTTTTATTTGCAATTTGCAAGTATTTAAAACTGGTGGCTTGTGGTGGCATCCAATGTCATCACCACATATGTTGGTTTGGTGGGGGGTGGGGGGGGTCAGGCTGGGTGCCAAATGAGAGGGCCAAAGGGGCTTAACCAATCTACATCAGACAGTCTCCGCATTGACAAGGGTTTTCCTGCATCGTTGCTCGCGTGGAGGTAGCACATTTTAACTGGGGCCTTTTTCCTCTTATTTTTTTAACCACACACTAACCCGTGGTGGGAAGATGGAGGTTCTAAAAGAGGGAGTTGGAATAATATTTTATATGATATGACTCTGAAAGGCCTGATTTGTTTGATCTTCAGGTTGAAAAGAAGAAAAAATGCCAGAGCTTACAGAAATTGCTGAAGTACGTAAGTTATCAATCATTAGCTTCCTTCATTTTGGACACAATTCTGCCCTATGATGATCCAACGTAACATATCAAGATGATTAACAGATATCCAGCATACAGTGCCTTCATGTTTATTAAACCTTATTACATCCGCAACATATGTATTTTCATTTGTCGACCAACGCAGGGGTGTACATAAACATGAATTGGCGGTTGGTTATTTATTTTCAAAGTTTGAAAAATAAAAACTCTTTAAAGGCAGACATACAGCTTTTAGTAATTAGTTTGTAAAATCTATTTGTATAGCACATTTTCAAGACTTTAAAATCATAAAGAGCCTTATGATGGCAAAAGATAAAAACATAAGCATATTTCAAATACATGCAGTAAAGCTGTAAGCTTGTTGTTATAGTATAGAAATGTTTTTTTACTTTCTCTTAAAAGTGTCAGTAGATTTGATGGGAAAGCTGGAGAGAGTTCCAGAACCTTGGAACCACAGCCTAAAAAGCCCGATCTCTACAGTTTTAAAAGAACTCTGCGGTATTACCTACAACTTCCAAAATATTCCAAAGCTTGGCCATGAAGAACCTTAGTTCCCTCCAAGTGCAGGGAGACCAGAAGAGCAGGGCCGTGCAGAGACCACTAAAGGGGCAGGTGCTCAAAAAAAAAGGGCAAATCTTATCGCATTTTAGGACAGAATATTAACAAAGTCACATAGCTTTCAGAGTTTAATGAACAATGATAAATTACAAAATTGTGAGACATACAATCAAAGCTAAGGGAAATCTCTACATAGAACATAGAACTAGGCATATGTAAAATATTTTATTAGTAATTTCTTTCTGCAGGTCTATTTTGTTATAGGAAAGTATTACAATATTCAAACCTGCAATTTAGCCAAAGATGTAAATCAGAGCTGGACCACCAGACATATTTTGTCTTTACAGAATTAAACTGTTAAAAATGCATACAAGGGCACAATGCAACCTTTTAGTGTACTGTAATCTATAAAAAGAATGTCTGCCTGGTTTGCTGTACTGACAGTGGAGATGGAGACGGTCCATTCAGAAAAGCAGAGCTGCTGCATCAAACTTTAACGTGGAACTGCAGAAAAAAAAGAACAAAAGCAAACATTTTATTAATGCATGTCACCATGAGAAAAGCCTACTCTGTTTGTGTCTTAGTGTATTTTGTAAGTACCTATATATTCATTTTCTTCAATCTTTCCTCTTCGTTTTTTCTTGTCAGTTTCTCTTTTCTTTTTTTCCTCATTGTCTCATCTTTTCTGTGTTGAGTGAAAGTCAATGTCTTATTTATTTCAGTCTCTTGCCTTTCTTTTCCCCCCAAACTAAATCCATTTAACTGTTTAAAAACAAATTTCCAACTTTTAAGCATTTTTGCTATTTTTGTTCTCTTTTGTTCACAGCAGCAGTTTTCTGTTAGCCATGTCTTTAAAAATGTTAATAACCTCACTGTGAATGATTGGCACATCCTTCTCGATTGCCAACAAAAGAAGGTCTGACAACCGATCCTCCTTGCATAAGCTGCGCAGTTTTGTTTTCACCAGCTTCATACATTATATCTATCATATATCTATCATGGTAGTTCTGGATGAGTTCTCCTTTAAGATACATTTACCTAACGCTAGAATAAATGAAATGTACATCATGCAGCAAAGGACATTAGAAAATCAGACATATATCCATTATGGAGATGATAGGTTTTTGACGGGCGATGTGCCCCTACTGCATAAGTAATACTGAAGAAAGTCCTACTATCATTAACAACACAGGGAAGCTTTTTAGTTATCTTGCTTTGCTAGCAAAGTCATTAGCTAGCAGCTAGCTCATAGCACAAGAACAACGGCCTAATGTCTGTATGATAAAAATACTGAATCGATAGATAAGAACAGCTTTTCCTCACCTGGCTGTCTCCTCCCGCTCAGTAGTTCTTCAGAAAAAGAACTACTTTCCTCCGTTTAAACCGCTACTCTTTGCTAAAGTAGAGAAATTATACAACGTTCAAAGTTTTCCGTTGTCTGACAAGTAGGAAGCCTACTCCAGTATTTTCACCAAAAATTATGTTTTTTAATTCACAAAAAAACTGTTCTGTAATCATTACAGAACAGTTTTTTTGTGAATTAAAAAACATAATTTTCAATGTAAAAGACTAAAAGCACAGAGTAAACAGTGTTTTAGATCAAACAATACTGCATCATCCATGGGGCTCATTTGGTTTCAATTACATGTCTATTCAGGTTGACATTGGAGAGGCGGTGCAGACTGAAGACAGCCATCCGTCCGATCATGGTTGATCTTGCTTAGGGCCAAATGAGCAGCGGCCACAGTGTAATGTGGAATATTCGCTACCTTTAGCTCCGCAGTTAGCCGCCTTATCTGACTGTGCGAGAGGCAAGTGCGTCGTCACCGGCAAAAGGTCAAAGATAACAATGTGACCGGAGGGCTTATTGTATTGTTTTTCTTGCCAAAAAAAAAAAAAGATAATAATAATAATTTCAGTACATGTGTCAAATAAAAAAAAAAAAAAAAAAAAAAAAAAGGGACCAAAAGGGCACATTGGGATCATGGAGCAAAAGGGGCAGGTGCTCAAGCCCCCTTAGCCCCCCCCTCTGCACGTGCCTGCAGAAGAGGGTAAGTTGCTGTCTTCTGTTCTTTCTTGTTACGACTGCTGGTGAAGCGTTCTTGTCTACTGGATACCCACCTATAAAATTTTGATTTACGTAGACAAGTGAAAAGACAAATGAAATGATCCAAATGAGATCAGATCATAGCACAACCATTTCCAATTCAATTTTGACTTCTGTAATCTTAATTTTGAAATATTCCTCAAATTATAACAGTTCTGGACAAACGTTTATCAGGAATGATTATCAGACCTGGTAAAGAGCTGTCAACATTGCTACCCATACTACACTGGTTTGCAGAGAAGGAGACAAAGTGTTTAGATGCTGCCTATTAACATGCAATAATGGTGGTTTCTGTTTTGTTCCCATTTCATTGCAAATAGCCAATCTCCAGCCATTGTTTAATTTCTGTTGCTGAGGTTTGGTGTTTTATCAGTCTAACATTACAAAAAAAAACATGTAGTTCAATATCATAACCATAAAGATAGAAAATGCATAATAAAAAGAGAACGGGCCCTAAAATGATCTGAAATGTACCAACAAAACAAAATAGCCGTGTCAGAAATTCTTTTTTTTACCGACTATAAAATATATATTTGACAGGTAAGACTAGAATAATTGTAAAACCACACCATATATCCACACTAATTCAAATTAAGTTTATTTATCATTGTAAGGTCGTCCAACGTGTCAAAAGCAAATACCAGCTCTAATAAAACAAATAGCAGCTATTAACATGTCACAAGAGAGTTTTAATAAAGCATCCACAAACATTTTTATTTGACCTTTATTTAACCAGGAAAAAAAATCCCATTGAAATTAAAAACCTCTTTTTCAAGGATCATTAGTGCAGGGAGGACATAAAGAGAGATTGAAGTCCGTTTAATTCCACCTAGAAATGCTTTTATTGTTCTGAGGCGATACTAGGGTAAAAATACAAAGAATTATAGGAGAATGATCCAAATAATTAGCTCCCTACCACAGCTGCAGGTTTGATTTTGAGTATATCTCTATTTGCATGTCGTAAAGTTTCATCCTTGCCAGTTATTCCAGTTGGAAAGTTTGTACACTGGGTCAGAAAATACTTGTTTTAGTCTCTTAATCACCGAATGCTTTAGTAACTAAATACATTACAGACTTGTTGTCAGTATATCAACTGGTTATATGAAACAGTATATAAACCATGAAGAATTTTGGCTTAAGTCGATTCTGCCTGTTGACCACTGAACCAGAAGACCCTGAAAGTGGTGAAATGTACACATTTTTTGATAAATCCAGGTTTAAAATAAATTTTATTAGGGATTAGGGTCATCATGTAAGCCTGGTTGGGGCCGTTTTACATAAGTTTTGTTTATTTCCCATATAGATAAACTGTGAATGAATTCTAAACCTCTTGACAGCTCTGCTTCAAATCTTTATTATAATATTGCAGTTTAGGAATGCCAAATGCACAAGGAAACAAATTTTCCGTCTCTTGAAACATTACAATTACAGAAATTTTCCTCAGAAAATGAACAATTAAATAAAATGAACAATGTTGCACGGCAGCAGTTGATTTTACATTGTAACTGTACTTCAGAAATATTTTAATATAGTTTAATAACACTGAAAAGGACCATGCAAATCAAATTCCGCGATCAACTGCAGGGAAGCAGGAGTGGGAGGACACTTGTTAAGTTTTCTGTCACACTATGTGAAGACTCAAGCTGTGACTGTTTCAGTTCTTACACATGAAGGTGAATGAGGTTAATAATTAGAGTAAGCTTCAACATGGTTTTAATGTATTCTTTGCTTTCATAGGCTGGTCCTTTTGAAATGTTAAAATGGTATTTAGAAATGTCATATGATGTGAATGTCATGGTCATATATCTTTTAGTATGTTTTATTTTCAAATGTAGCATACAGGAAATCAATAGAAAAGATAT